TGGTTTTATTAGTTGGCGTTTGTCGTTATGTTGACTCTGGTTATGCCTGCAAATGATACGCTATGTTGTTCTCTTGAGTTTTCACTTCGTTAAATAGTTTACACTTACAACTTGAACGTGACAGAGTCTGGAGGCGAAGGCCGTGGTCTTTTTAATCTCATTGATTATCTGGGATCAGCATTCATCATTCAACCTCTCCTGCCTTGTAAAATAACTCTTACGGTAGTTTTGCCCCACACTATACTTGCAAGAGCTCAGCATTGCTAAGAGTGTTGGGAGATCAGACATGGTAAGCACATTTAATGATTTCCCAATTATGTGGTTTTTTTTTGCAGAATATTTAAGTTCGACACTTACATTTACGAGTTATTTTAGAGTCTGGAATTTGCTGTGATGTTTATAAAACTTTGGCCAAAGTATTCCTTGAGCTCAACAGCAACTGAGCTTACATATGAAAAATTCACAATGCTTGTGCCATGGGTGCAAACTTGTAGGAGACTTCCTCTTGGAGGCAACACTTTTATCTCCATATACAGTATATAAAAGGCAAAATTGTGATTATGTGTGTCTTCAAAATGTTTATCGTACTTCCTGACATGCAACAAGCTTAAAATTTGCCATGTGGGTACTTTCCAGACTGTACACTATGCAAACATTATAAAAATACACTTTTTTTGGGGGGGGGGTGGGGGGAGCTCAATAATGCATATATTTTTTGCACGGCAAGTGAGCTGTGACGTCAAATCTGTCATGTGACCCGCGCATACGTAGTGCTTATGGCGCTGTGCAACGAACCCGGCAACCCGAGTTCGATTCCCGCTCATGGCCACCACCGGTGACGATTATTTGAACCGGTCCTGGGCCTCCCCTAGGTCGACTCCGCTTCAAACGAGTAATTGGTGTGGTGCGTAAACATCGCCGCTGGGGAGACAAAGGCTGCCAGGCGTGGTGAATCCAAGTCCCGGGCAAAGTCGGGTAGTAAAGCTAGTTAACAATAAACGCAATAACAGTTGTCCCTGGCACAAAAGGGGTACGGGCCCCTTCCACCCGATATCCGGCCAGCGTGTCCTATTCCCCCATGGGCTTGAGTTCTTCGAGTGGGCGACAACTGCCGGTTCCTTTGAGAGGGCCGGCTTTTATACCCCGAGTCGGGGCTCACTCCGCCCCTAGCCGGGGTCCACCCCTCAGGTCACAAGATACCCGGGGGGGGGGTGGGGGTTACCTTGGCCCAACTGCCACTCAACCTGCAAGCTAACTTTCACGTAGCGCTTTAATAATGAAACAAGTTGGGCTTTGAGACACTAATTTTTCATCTGAGCCTTTATAACATAAACCAAGGGTTGTGTGATATTTCCAGACTAGCTGCATGTATTCTAGATTTGAAGCTTTCGTGACTGCAAGGTTTCATATTCTTAGGTTTTTTCTGTAAAGTCACGTAGGTAAAACATTAAAATTAATAAAAGTAAAATAAAAATAAAATAAAAATCACGACGTTTCAGACGCAACACAAGCTTCCGTCTTCAGGTGGAACCGTCACAGCACGATAGCTGTATCAAGTGATACAGCTATCAAGTGATACAGCTATCGTGCTGTGACGGTTCCACCTGAAGACGGAAGCTTGTGTTGCCTCCGAAACGTCGTGATTTTTATTTTACTTTTATTTTACTTTTATTAACTTAATTTTTTTACCTACATGACTTTACCGAAAAAACCTAAGAATATAGCTGCATGTACCCCAGTGGAGCAAAACATCACTCGAGGGCCCAAGTGACTCCCTTTGAGGAATGGTAATGGGCCAATCCTTCCCTTTGCTGTGAAATGAAGGCATTGATTGTGGATTGCTGGTGTCCTTTCGAAAGTGGATTAGTGTTGCATTAGATCAGGGATGGGGAACCTTTTTTCTGCCAAGGGCCGTTTGGATATTTCTAACATCATTCGCGGGTAATACAAAATTATCAACTTAAAAATCGTCCTGTTATATTTGGTCAAACATTTAATTAACTCGCCCCTAATGTGATGGCTGGAACTGCTTCTCTTTGGTGAGGCGTGTGATGTTAGCTGGTATTGATGATGTTGCTACTCGCAACTGCTTTTCCAGGTTTGCTCCTAGATTTTTTGAATTTCGAGTCCTGCCTGTAGTTGCCTTGGCAGAGCCAGACCAAATGATTCCGTTGCCTTATACGGCCCGCGGGCCGGACGTTCCCCAACCCTGCATTAGATCAAAGGCATTGACACCAACGTGATGAGTCTTACATTAAACCGCGATGGATGGAGTGTGGATTTGGCTGCTGCTGCTGGTGCTGATGAAGATGGTTATGGTGTTGATGGTAAAGTCAGCGTTGGAATGTTTAGGATGTAGCCGTATTAAGGAATCTAACAGTGCACTGGGATTACTTTGACCAAAATCAACGTATTTGTGAGCCAATCAGCAGGGTGCAACATTGGTACCCATTGCGAGTTGAAATATCCAATTAATGGAAACTTGATTTCATCTATCTGAACAGAAAAGTTACGGTACGCATCAACGTGTCTGCGGCAAATTGTTGAGCTGTGACATTGGAAGGTTTTCGGGGTTCTGTGGAACTCTTTGTCTTTCCTTCGCTAGTCTGACGAGGTTAACAAATTGGGCCTTTCTGAGGCCAAGCCCTTGGGCCATGGTGTGAAGACACGGGGATGAATTAAACTCCACTTTGATTAGTGAACCACGCCAACCCAAGTTCCCCTGAGTGGCCGTGTCAGGTGTGTCCAATACGACGTAATTGAACGATTGATAGTTTTCACATCCTTAGCCAGCTCATATTGGCCATCGAGTGCACACTTAACTGTTCTCTCGCGTTGTACATTGCAAATTGAAAAAAATTATTGCCACCACCTCACTTCGCTCTCGCCCTTAATCTAACAGATGTGTGAAAAATACAGAATTGTGATGATGAAAGCATACATTGTAGTAAACAGATTAGTTAACTATGCAATTTTTTGGATATAGGTTCCTTTGCAAATAAGTCTTAATTATGGCCATGGCAGCCATTTTACAAATGGTCACCGATTACCATGAGTGAGCATCTGTGTATGAAATATTGGTGCTTATGTTTAATAAAAATGGGTACCTTTAAAACATTTACCGTTCTGTAAAGAATCACAATGATCACTCAAACTCTCACGACTACTCGGGGCTCAGTGGCTTGTGGCTTTTTACTAAAAACGAAACTTTTTTTTTTTATTTTGCCAGACAAGGCCCACTGAGGTATATCGCTCTTTTTCAGAAGCGACCTGGCCACAAATGATAGCTCAACAAAAGTGGCTCATCATGTGGAAATGTATAGCTGCCAAATACTCTATACGCATATTTCTAAATATGGGGGGAAAAACCGGAAGGACCTGGAGAAAGATCCACGTGGCCACAGGGAGAGAGAGAGCATGCACACTGCACATATACAGCAAGCGTCAGGGCCAGGATAGAACCCACGATCTCCTGTATACCAGGCGAGGTAGTTAATATCTCGCCACCGTGGTGCCCCTTTTGTACACACCGTCCATCCAGGAGGGGAGGTGGGGGGAGTAGTTGGGGGAGCAGTCTGTTCACTACCGACGATGTTGTCAAATTCGCCTGTCTCTTCTCATTCATCGCGAAGCATCAACGCGGCACACCCTGGCCTGTGCTGAATTTAGATCGTCCGATTTTGGGTGCGCACGACAGGCAGACCTGCTGCTGCTGCCGCCGCTACCGGCTGCTTTAACCCATGCCTCGTTGCCAATGTTGGTGAGGGTCCTGTGGCTGTTGTAGATTAGCGGGGGGGTTGGGTAGGGGGGGGGGGCCTCTTTGGATATTGAACTCCTTCCCCTTGACTGTTTTACCACCCTGCTGCCCAGCGCTGAACACTCCATTATTAATGATAAATTTGAAGCTTTCGTGACTGCAAGGATTCATACTCTTAGGTTTTTTTCGGTAAAGTCACGTAGGTAAAAAATAAAATTTTACTAATAAAAGTAATAATAGAAATAAAATAATAAAATTCACGACGTTTTGGAGGCAACACAAGTCTCCGTCGTGATTTTTATTATTTTATTTCTATTATTACTTTTATTAATTTTCATTTTATTTTTTACCTACATGACTTTACCGAAAAAACCTAAGAGTATACTCCATTATTATTTACTTCGGCTATTTCAGTTGCAGCTTTGAAATGTGACATACAAATTCCAAGTCAAAAGTCAAAGTTCACAGCAAAACCAAAAATATTATTTTCTGGCGCATAATTGGCAGTATTAGGAGTAATGCTAACGATACTTGCATTTATATTGCACCCATAACATAATGAAACATCATGGAACATAGTTTAGTTTAGCTTACGTAACCCCCCCCCCCCCCCCCCAATGGCAGCTAATGCACATAACGGTGCCGTGGCTTTAATGACCAATTTAGCTGTAGGTTTATCGTAATGCTACAGTGCTCTATTACATTTCAACCATTATATAAAGCACTCTATTTATATTGTTTTGGCTTTGGGGGGACGTGCACAATCTGAAGCCCTGTGCTGCAAACCCGCAAAGCCCCTGTCTATGAACTCTAGATTTGAAGCTTTCGTGACTGCAAGTATTCATATTCTTGGGTTTTTTCGTAGGTAAAAAAATTAATAAAAATAAAATAAAAATCACGACGTTTCGGAGGCAACACAAGCTTCCGTCTTCAGCACGCTTGCTGTATCAGCAATCGCTTGCTGTATCAGCAATCGTGCTGTGACGGTTCCACCTGAAGACGGAAGCTTGTGTTGCCTCCGAAACGTCGTGATTTTTATTTTATTATTATTTTACTTTCATTAATTTAAATTAAAATTTTTTTACTTACATGACTTTACCGAAAAAACCCAAGAACATGAACCCCTGTCTATGTATTGTGTATGTTGTACGTATGTTGAACTTCTTTCGCACCGTACGTTGCCAACCGTGCTCATCGCCGTTTAACCCTGGCCCTGCCTGTGCCGTGCCGCCGTTGCCCGCAGCTGCTGGGCGTGCTGCTGCTGTGCCTGGGCGCCTACGCGGAGGTGGAGAGGCAGCGCTCGCGCACCATGAGCGGCATGTTCCTGGCGCCAGCCATCCTCCTGCTGCTGGCGGGATCCGTGCTCTTCATCGTCTCCTTCCTCGGCTTGCTCGGGGCACTCCGGGACAACTTGACGTTGCTCAAGATCGTGAGGCCGCTCCTCCTCCTCCTCCGTTGCCACCGATTTGCTTCCTCTGTTCCGCAATCGTGGCCCCAACCCCCACCCCCTGTCCCACTCCATCCCTTCCCTCCGAGCCTCAGATCCACGTCCCACAGGTTTCGCTCGCCCCTCGCTGCCCCTTGGGACGTGGCCTGGATTTTTGTAGGTCAGGGAGTCTATACGATTGGATGATGTTGTGCACATCCAGCTGTGTAAGTCTATTTTTAAAGGCACTGTTAATAACGAAGGTAGGATTTGTATCTTTCCATTATTTGTGCAGTCATGATGTAATGGTTAGCACACTGGACTTGCAATCCGGAGGTTGTTGGCTCGGCAGTTTAAACAATGGGTCAAGTTATTGAAACACCCCAGCCCTCTGTCCACACGGCAGAATACATGGGCACAGCACAGGCGATCGGCAGGATGCGTGTGGTGGGGTAAAGTGTGGGTACTTCCATATCTTCCAACACGTCTGGGCAGCATGAAAGAGTAGGCCAAATACCCTCTAGAGAGGCTGTCCAGAGCTCTCTCTGGTAGAGGCCTTTCTGGAATTACAGGCATGAGCAGGCAATTGAAGGGCTGCACATTTAAATGTTGAACTTTTTCCATGTAAAAAAGTAAATAACAATTGTATTCTGTTCACTCAGTAACAATAGTATATACATTTTATTTCCAAGGCAACACATTCCTCAGCAGCGTCTCATTGTTTGGAACCAGAATTCTTCTGCTATGTTGCTGCTCCACGCAGTGTGAAGCGATGGATGTGGATTGTGGGTCAATTGTGAATGGTGTTTGTTTAGCAAGAGCAGTGGGGTTCGAAAGGTCGTCATTCTGAGGTCCCAAAGGAGTTCATTCAGCTTGCTGTTTTCTCAGACAAATATGTTTAAGGTGTGTGTGTGTGGATGTCTGTGTGTGTGGATGTCTGTGTGTGTGTGGGTGGATGTCTGTGTGTGTGTGGGTAGATATCTGTGTGTGTGTGGGTGGATATCTGTGTGTGTGTGGGTGGATATCTGTGTGTGTGTGGGTGGATGTCTGTGTGTGTGGGTGGATATCTGTGTGTGTGTGGGTGGATGTCTGTGTGTGGGTGGATGTCTGTGTGTGTGTATGTGGGTGGATGTCTGTGTGTGTGGGTGGATGTCTGTGTGTGTGGGTGGATGTCTGTGTGTGGGTGGATGTCTGTGTGTGTGTGGGTGGATGTCTGTCTGTGTGTGGGTAGATGTCTGTGTGTGTGGGTGGATATCTGTGTGTGTGTGGGTGGATCTCTGTGTGTGTGTGTGGGTGGATGTCTGTCTGTGTGTGGGTAGATGTCTGTGTGTGTGGGTGGATGTCTGTGTGTGTGTGGGTGGATCTCTGTGTGTGTGTGTGGTGGATGTCTGTGTGTGTGTGTGGGTGGATGTCTGTGTGTGTGTGTGGGTGGATGTCTGTGTGTGTGTGTGGGTGGATGTCTGTGTGTGTGTGTGGGTGGATGTCTGTGTGTGTGTGTGGGTGGATGTCTGTGTGTGTGTGTGGGTGGATGTCTGTGTGTGTGTGTGGGTGGATGTCTGTGTGTGTGTGTGGGTGGATGTCTGTGTGTGTGTGTGGGTGGATGTCTGTGTGTATGTGGGTGGATGTCTGTGTGTGTGTGTGGGTGGATGTCTGTGTGTGTGTGGGTGGATCTCTGTGTGTGTGTGTGGGTGGATGTCTGTCTGTGTGTGGGTAGATGTCTGTGTGTGTGGGTGGATGTCTGTGTGTGTGTGGGTGGATGTCTGTGTGTGTGTGGGTGGATGTCTGTGTGTGTGGGTGGATGTCTGTGTGTGTGTGTGTGGGTGGATGTCTGTGTGTGTGGGTGGATGTCTGTGTGTGTGTGTGTGGGTGGATGTCTGTGTGTGTGTGGGTGGATGTCTGTGTGTGTGGGTGGATATCTGTGTGTGTGGGTGGATGTTTGTGTGTGTGTGGGTGGATATCTGTGTGTGTGGGTGGATGTCTGTGTGTGTGTGTGTGGGTGGATATCTGTGTGTGTGGGTGGATGTCTGTGTGTGTGTGTGTGGGTGGATGTCTGTGTGTGTGTGGGTGGATGTCTGTGTGTGTGTGGGTGGATGTCTGTGTGTGTGTGGGTGGATGTCTGTGTGTGTGTGTGTGGATATCTGTGTGTGGGTGGATGTCTGTGTGTGTGTGTGGGTGGATGTCTGGTGTGTGTGTGGGTGGATGTCTGTGTGTGTGTGTGGGTGGATGTCTGTGTGTGTGTGTGGGTGGATGTCTGTGTGTGTGTGTGGGTGGATGTCTGTGTGTGTGTGGGTGGATGTCTGGTGTGTGTGGGTGGATGTCTGTGTGTGTGGATGTCTGTGTGTGTGGATGTCTGTGTGTGTGGATGTCTGTGTGTGTGTGGGTGGATGTCTGTGTGTGTGGGTGGATGTCTGTGTGTGTGGGTGGATGTCTGTGTGTGTGTGGGTGGATGTCTGTGTGTGTGTGTGTGGATGTCTGTGTGTGTGTGTGTGGATATCTGTGTGTGTGTGGGTGGATGTCTGTGTGTGTGTGTGTGGGTGGATGTCTGTGTGTGTGTGTGTGGGTGGATGTCTGTGTGTGTGTGGGTGGATGTCTGTGTGTGGGTGGATGTGTGTGTGTGGGCGGGGTGGACGCGGGTGGTGCAATGCGCCATCAACTCCGGCGACCCGAGTTCGATTTCCGCTCACGGCTAACATCGGTGACGATTATTTGAATCGGTCCTAGGGCCTCCCCTAGGTCGACTCGGCCCCAAGTGAGTACTTGGTGCGATGTGTAAACATTGCCACTGGGGAGACAAAGGTCGCCGGGCACGGTACTGGCCACCCACCCCCTCGTGTGCCATGCCAGCCTTCATAGGTGCTCGCGAACAGCACTTGACCCAATGATCTGTTAAGGCTATACGGAAGATCTTTTGTCTTTGTGTGGGGGCGGGGTGGAGGTGGTGTGGCGCAATGGCATGGCACTGCTCTCTGAACCTGAACACCTGGTTGTAATTCATGGCCATGGGTGACGTGAGTGAAAAGTTGTAGCTTAACCTCTCCGGAGCCTCCCCTACGTGGAATCAGCCTCATGAGTTACCTGCTGCATATTGCAAATATCAGAACCCGGTGTGGTGCTGGCTACTCCGCCCCTTCTTACATATCGTCAGGTGCTCACTAACTTGAACTTGCCCAAGATGTCTGTACGGCTACACGGGGTATCTTTGCCTTGGTTTTATAAGCATATATGTGAATGCATGTGTAAGTGCCTCCATGTGTCATTGTTCATCTCACACACGCCTCCGCAATGCGTTTTCAAGGCTACCTTTGCACCAAAAAACATTTGAAAATTCTATTATTGTTTCATTGCAATAATGTGCTGGGATTTTTTTTTGCCGTTGGTAATTTCCCCCATCATCCCTCCATGTCTGTTGAAGCTCGCGACACCCGGGGCTTATTGCTGAGCTCCAGCGAGGCATCCCAGCGAAATCCTGTCTCACCGCTTTACATGGCATTAACAATTTCAAGTGCCGATGCTCGATTTGAACTCTGGCCTCCCGAGTGTTTCTATTCCGTCTCATTTTCCCCGGTAACCCTGGTAGCAACTGCACCCACCCACACATGCACGGGGGGCCCATCATTGAACTCAATGAACACGTTCTATAGCCTTGATCTCCTGCTTTACATGGCATTAACGGTGTCAAATGTTGAATGCTTGATTTGAACTCTGACCGCTAACCTATTTTTTTTGTCCATTTTCATTTCCCATTCTTCCTACTCCCCGTCCCCACACCCACTCCTCTTCTGTTATTGACAGTTCCTGGTTACCATGATACTGGGCCTCATCATTGAGCTCATTGGCGGGATCGTGGCTTTGGTCTTCCGCAACTCGGTACGTGCGCGAGCCGCGGCTATAATCAGATGCCCCCGTGGGGTCGAGTCGTTTGTTCCCCGCAATGTATTGTGCTTATTAAGCGCGGAAGCCCTGTTTTCGTGGTCGCAGGCGTGAGAGAACCTGAGACGTGGGGGCGGTTACATCGGCCACAGATGAGTTCTGGTCGAAGCGGTGCCGTGAGATCCTTTGAGGTCACGAAAAACTTTAACGGCGTGAACTGCAGATGCGGCCACGGGTTAAGTGTCTCTTTCGGAGCAATGCTGCGGCGCCGCTTATGCGCTCCCAACCAAACGCCCAGTGGCTTGGATTTGAAATGGAAAATCTTTATTTCACTGACAGAGGTGGGTCAAGGCCCAAAAGATAATCCTGGAACCGCCATTAGTGGCTAGCTGGCCTTGGGGGGGGGGGGGAGGTTGGGGTAATGCAGCTTTAAAGGAATTAGACGATAAGTTATGGCTGAATATTAAAGAATGTGCGCAATTAACAGAGTAATCTTGCTCACTCGCAAAGCAAAGCCCGTGCTTTTTATCTACTGTCTGTAGCGACGTGTTTCGCATTAAAGTGAGCGCTGAATGCTAATAGAAAGAAAACAATTCCCTATATTTACCGAGTTAGTCTCAATGACTCTCAAGACTATTTTTCATGAGATTCCTGCAGTTCGTGGGGAGAGGAAACCCATGATGCGTACGAAAGGGGATTTGCGTTCAAATCTCGACAGTGATGGAATTAAGAGTCAATTGCTCAACTGCCATCTCCTGACCACCGTGCAGCCTGGACCACGTTTGTCAACTGTGCTTTTCCCATGCGTTCTATTAGCGACAGCGTTTCTGAGCGGACCATTGCCGTCTGGCTGTTTCACGCGCTAAGCCATAAAAGGCAGATGAATCGGCGAGTTAAAAATACAAGCGGTGTTCTAAATTAGCAGTGCAGCCCACATGTCTTACGAAAATCCATTTCGCTACTACACGAGACACCACCGACTGATGAATCTTCGCCTGTAACATGTTTTTTAAAAAATCTGTACATCATTTGTAGGACAAGGGAAGATTTTCCCACCCTTTTTTGCTCCGCACAAATTAGCGATGTAAATAGATTATATGGGGCTCAAGCAGCCATGCTGTAGCAAGCATTTGGCAATGGACACCTTCACACTTTGTTTCCCGTGGTGGATAACATCTCAAAGTGTAGAAATCCTCAACATTATCAGCCATGATCAATTCACTGCTGGATGAATGTCTTCCTACGTGCCGGTACCTATCGCTTTTGGTCTTGCGATGCAGCAATCCATCTTGCACCCGTGTATAAATTGATTTCATTGCTCCGTCTCTCCAGGGGACGTACTCTCAGGTGTGGCCTCTCCTTTGGCTTCCACTCTATTGTTAGTCTCGACCACCGGTCCTCAAACCTTCGAGCGATGTGTCCTGCCAAAGCATACGTAAAATTCATAGGTTCGCTCGCAACACTGAGTAGAAAGTATGTCGGTGAAACCTTTCTTAGAATTGTCCAATTGATTTGCCTCTGGGCCACCACTTGCCCTGATCATTACATTTTATTTACTGACCGTGTAGTTCAGCCAGACCAGCTGTAATTGACAAAGCAACGTCATTTACATAACGTGTAGTGTGGAGTGCTTTTGGGAAACTGAACCTAAAAATAAAAAGCAAACAAACCAATGTGCCTCAGAAGGAATGTTTTCTTAATCGGTGTATATTATCTTATTATCTCCGACTGCATCAGGATCAGAAACGTGGATATTGATAAAGAAAATGGAGCAGATGCTGAAATGTGGGCCAAAGAGCATGGCGAGGGGCATATTCTTGGTGAATGGCGAGGTGGCAGTATAGAAAGTGGGTTGTTCATTGTTTATTCCATCTGAGATGCCAGATAATCATTAGCAGAAATTGCCAAACATTTGGTGTAAGCAGGGCCATCCTAAAAACAACTCTTGAGAGGTTTTCCTGAATAAACAGAAGTCATCATTATTAATTTTAAATGAATCTTCCACATTTTTACGGACAATGTGAATCGTACCTTTTACGTGGTAAGCACTGCGTAACGCGATCGTTGCCATCTGCTGCAGCTTGTGAAACACCAGGGCTCGCTCTACCATGAGCGTGGTTGGCGGTGGGGGTCTAGTTGCTCGAGTTAAAGTGGCTCTGTGGCGTGCGCGTGACCACGCAGCTGCGCGCCTGCACGTGCGTTCAATGGAGCTTCCGCCGCAATCAAACAAAAACCCATCGAGGGCGGGCGGACCCCCCCCTGTGAAAAATAGTCGACTCTGTTAAACAAAAAAAACCTCTTCTCTGCTGTCGAACTGAGGAGCACCGCGGCCATGCCGAGTCGGTGCGGCGCAGTTCAGGAGGCACCAGTTGTTTAATTAAATTTTTTATTTTACTAGGTAAGGCCCACTGAGCTACATATCTCCATTTTCAGACGTGACCTGGGCATCACAGATTAGGGCTTAACGAAGTGGCTGCTCGCGTGGAAATTTCTAGCAGTCAAATACTCTAAATGCACGTTGATTCTAACTCTGGAGGGAAAGACCGGAGGACCAGGATAAAAATATACACGCCACCACGGGGATAGAGATATGCAAACTCAAAATATTTTGGTGTCAAGGTCGGGATTCAACCCACGACTTCCTGTATACCAGGCGAGGTAGTTAAGATCTCGGATGCAAGAGCTGGGCCGTGCCATTGGCATCACGTGCAAATGAAAATAAAGGTTTTTTCTGAGGTTAGATCGCGTCAATATAAATGTGTCGTTAACCCACCATCCGATGCAGCCAATTAGTAAGGTTTGTCACGTAAACACAACGTACCAATTAGTTACCACTAACCTCAAAAAAACCTACCTTTATTAAGATTCATATTTGTCGCGAAAGCCTCTACGTGTTAAACGTGCAAATGAACGTTTGACATCGGCATCAAATGTCCAAGTGCTCCGACTGCCGCAACGCGTGACGGAAATGATTAACCCTGCCCCTGGCCCCTGCATGGCCCTGAGGCAGATTGAGACGTCTCACAAGAGGCATTGCGTATCACAGTTTTTTTACATCTCGCTCGACTCGGCAAATGGCAGAGTGAAAAAATCACCCGTGCCATGAGGGCCACGCAATGTATGTGTATATGTATGGTGAACTTCTTTCACGCAGTACGTGGCCAACCGCATTAATAGGAGGTGCGGGAAATGTCACAGCTCAGGTGTGCCAGTGTCAAGGGGTATTAAACGAGGTATCGGAGGAGGGCTACATTGATGCCTTTACCCACTTCCATTTACCTTTTCGGCTGCTTTTTGTGCGTTTTTCCATTATAGTTAAACCGTGGACCGAGCCAGTGGGAGTGTCAACTCGAAGATTTAAAATTGGGTGCCCTTCGATGGATGTTAATTCAAATGAAAAAAAAAAAAACTTCTAAATCGACTGTGTCCACGTTAAAATAGCTTCTCCAAAATTTCCACGGAAGTTGGGCTGCTTCTGTCGTGGTAATCCGCCTGCTGGGATGTCTTGGCCTTGAGTGGGGGGAGGTGCATAAATAACCGAACGCGAGCAAATGCTGCCACGCGCGGGCCTAATCATTTGCATAATGAGACGGGCTCGAGGTTCGGATTTTGCATATTTCACGTGCATCTGCTTGCTTCCCCGGTCGCCTGTTTGCGCACGCGGGCGTTACAAATGATTGCGCGCCGCACAGAGAGATATGCAAATACGTGGTTATTATTATTGCTCTTTTTGATTTTCATTAGACTTTGCGAGACGTTACGCTTCGTTGTTTCTCCCACTTTTTCTACAGTGCACTTTGTTTACTCAACTCATGGTTGTTGTTGTCGTCGTTTTAAAATGGTACCGGGTCCCTTGGCCCGCCTCTCGCCCCCCCCCCTCGACCCCCAGGTCCCATCCTCTCAGCAATGAAATAATCGTCGATTCATATTCATCCTTGCGCTCACCAAGTCGTGCAAAGTAACTTTATTTACGATTAATGCCAATTTACATGTGAATGGATGTGTTCATGTTACATCTAGGCTCATGAAGTGGGAGAAAAGAACAGCATTCAAACAAGACCTAAAGATCTCTCATGCTCACATGTCCTTTTGCCTTTGGATTGCACCACTCTCCGATCTTACATTAACATGCTAATCTCTCACAATAACATAGCCACTTCCGTGCCCTCGTAGAGGAGGCCGCTCTCCTATCTTACAGTTACATGCTAATTTCTCACGTTAACATCACTCACCCTGGCTACTTATTTATGACCCTTGGGCTACACCCATTTCAAACCTTTTAAAACAGTCTGCCTCAGCAGCAGACCATGCTTTCCCACCTGTTGACGGACGCTTGTGTTGCGGCCCAAACGTCGTGATTTATTTTATTTTCTACCTACGTGACTTTAGCGAAAGAACCAAACAGTATGGATTCCTGCAGTCACGAAAGCTTCAAATCAAGATTAAGACCTAAAGAGTTATAATACGAATGAGAAAAATACATTATTTAGAACGTAGTCTGCTTTGGTGACCAATATCAATGATAGGTTTTTTCTGTTAAATCACGTAAATATAAATGTGCCGTCAAACCTGCCACCACCCGACACAGCCAATTAGTGAGGTTTGTCACGTGAACAAAACATGCTAATTCGTTACTAGTCCAGCACACCGGTGTGTTGTAAAGGAAACCCACAGCATTTATATTTCTAGTACGACTTTTGCCGGTAATTACAACATTATTTATTCTTGAATCAGTGCTTGCGACTGTCGACAATAGCACGGAGTGGGGATGCTGTATTGGTAAATGGCTGCCATCCACTGTGGCATGAACATCTTTTCTGGCTGCGATCGACCTGTAACTGTGCAAAGACTTCCTTTGACTGTCAAGATCAAGATGCCATCGTGGCCAATGTCCGTAGATGCCTCCGCACTCCGTCAACGCTCCACATACCCCAAGTTCTTCCCCACATCTGATCGTCGGTCTTTCCCCCCCGGTCGCCAGACTCGTGGGCACTATTCCGATGTCTGTCTCGGCAACCAGGGCCCTTCTGCACAAATGTCCCACCGAAGCCGCGCAACTCGTTTGCCTAATTCAATCACTCGTTGACTTTAAAACGACACCTCCGATTAGCACGGGTGGCTACGTACGATGCGAAAGAAGTTCAACATACGTACAAACTAGGTTTAATAAAATCCCTGCCAATGTTTTTTGCTGCAGAGTTCACCTCTGTGACCTTCACTGCCTGGGCATTGCCATTAAGCTGCACAATTACAGTGGTCAAAGCGATCTTGAAATCGTTTCAGACAAACTCAAGGCTGAGGAGAGAGCCAACTTACTATGCCACATATCTATAGTTCACTGTATTTGCTGGCTTCATTAACACCGCTGTTAATTGAATGCTGCACAATAAGTAATTGTTTATTGCATAATAATGACTGTTAAGCTTGTTGCAGTAGAATGCATTGAGCAGGGGCAACCCATTTACAAGGCTCTCCGATTCAACTTTGGTTCCCATTGTTTAAATAATTTAGCAGACTGCATTATTAATGCAATTTTATTATTTAGGTAAAAAAATAAAATCATTAATTTTACATATCTCACAGCCCTGTATGAAAATTAATTAAAACTTAATGGGATAATGCTATTGAATTAGGCTGAGCAGTGTAAGGCCACCAATCTTCGTACACGGTAGTTGGAATTGTTGTGTGCAAAGGGGATTGCTGACGTGACCTTACATCTGCTCGCCTATTAACCACCACCTGCTCATTCCACACGTTCACCTTCGCCAGAGGGCCCCAGCCCTTCGTTGGAGACACGGTCTAAAAACGAAATGGTTTCGTGTCATGCAGATAACTACGCAGAGCTGTGTGCCCTCGGCTGTCTTCCCACGAGTTCGAAATTCAGTTTGACTGTAACTAAAAAAAATCTCATTACCAAACCTTCCAACTCATCTCCGACAACCCGGAATATGCGGCTTTGGGGACATATCTACGAGACGAGAACTACTTTTCTTTTATCGAATTGCATCGTAATCATCTGCCCTCTTCCTTCGGCGCATTGATGATGATGAGGCCAAACAAAATGTCTGCCACATATCTCTTTCTTTAATCAGGTCTGTTGCTCTTTTACATTTCAATACAGCCTCTTCTATGTATGCCTATCCACGAGGCTTTCTGTCTTTGCCTGCTTCCCCTTTCCCTCCATTTGTGTGCGCAGCTTTGCCTAATACGAGGTCACGTCCAGGCTCATTCCCGAGCTTGAACCGCTGCAGTTGTCCTTCTTTAACATTGTCTCAAGGACGTATTCCCTTCTTCCTGTGTCACATTGGTGAGCACGCGAGACTTCTGGACATTGCAATATTTTCCGCGTGACAGAAGTCTGAGTCGCTGCTGGTACCATGTGCTGTAGCAGGCGAAAGCCCGGTGAGACTGGAAATATCTTCTGCAGGGGAACACTGTTGGGATGCTGAGAATTTGGAAGGAAATGCATTTTCATTATGAACGCAAATACAAATTGTGCAGCTTCCTCTGTAATTAAGATTTATTTATAGTAATAAAATATGTAAACATACCAATTGAGTACAACAGCGATATACTTGTTGCCAAGTATTCATTCAGGGGGTGGTGGGGTTCTCTAAATGTGAGTGACATCTCCAGGACAGGACAAATCGTTTAAGCATGATTGACATTCCTCCACGTATGTTAATGAATGGAGCAGAAAGTCCGTGACTCTTTATGCAAGCGGCGTTTAAGCGCTATTTGCACATCATACGCTTCCACTGCCTGCTCGCTTCGGTATTGCGTGGACGTTTCTCTGCCCCGATCTCGGCATCCTCGTGCCTCCGTGCGTTTCCCCGCAATAATAATTGAAAGCGCCGAGAATTTCAACCGTGCTGGCTTCACGGTTACCCGCACACCATCTTATTTTTAAAAATGGAGAGTCCGGGAGCTCGCCGGTGTGAGCACATAACATTGGCCTGTAATCACGCAATATTTCTCCTTTTTATTGTTGTGCGCAGACCCAAGGCTTTATTAACGACAACATCCGGAAGGGGATTGAGAATTACTACGACGACCTGGATTTCAAGAACATCATGGATTCCGTTCAGCACAAGGTGCCGTTTCGACAACAGAAGTCTTTCTCGCAAACGGATTGTTCCGTCTAAAAGTTTAAGACGGAGCATAATGGTCAATGATTATCTCAAAGACTTTAAAATATTTGAAATGGTCTGCCACTAAGTGCTGTGCAGAACGTGAATCTCTTTGGGGCCATTATTTTATGCGGCTGGCTGTACGGCGAGCAATTTAATGGTTTAGACGGCACAGGATGGCCATGTGCAAGAGTGCTCGGGTTCGTCCGCTGAACTTCTAAGCCGAGATTTTGGTACGTAATAACAATGTGAAGAATAGTTGTATGTTGTAGAACTTCTTTCATACCGTACTTGGACAACAGCGCTAATTGGAGGTACTAATATATCAATGTCGTGGTTTTTGAAACTAGCTACTTGATGTTTTTTTTTTTTCCCTGTGAGAGATTCCATTCCCATTGATCAACATGAGTCCATTATTGGTAACATTTGGAAAACTGTTTGCTGTTTGTGAACAGACAGCCTGCCCTTGACTCTTCGCTGTTATGTGGTGCTTAGCGAGAGCTGTGGCATAGTGATTAGCACACTTCACCATGAACGTGGTGACCTAAGTTTGATTCCCGGCCTCGGCTAACGTCAGCGGCAAGTGATATCTGAATCGGTGTGGTGATGTATGCTTGAATAACTCCCACAACCAACGAGGTCTGGTAAAACATTCATGCAACAGCGGATTGACAAAGCACTATAAATGTATCATCCCCCCAAAGCTCCCAGGCAATGTATTTCATAAAATATGAAAATGTACAACCCTTGATCGATCCACTGTTGGATGAAGGCCTGACCACGCCGTGTCAGTCACTAGAGTCCTTTGACCAGACTTCGCCACAGCTGTTCAGACCAAATTATTCATCTGCTACAAAGCCATCGCATGTTAATGGTTCATGGTAATGATGGCCATTGAAGTTGATGAGAGGACCAAAGAGAAAAACCTTCAAAGCTTTGATCTTGCGACGACGCAATACACGCGTAACGTCGCTTCGCTCTTAAAAGTTCAATTGAAACATTCGAAGCCCGCGTTGTACGAGCGCCCGTCGCACGGGGCCCTGGCGCGTGGCACCGGGCCGTCACACGTCACACCAGGGCCCTCGTGCGTGGCACCGGGCCCTCGAGTGTCACACCGGGGCCCTAACGCGTCACACCAGGGCCGTCACGCGTGTCACACCAGGGCCCTCGCGCATGGCACCGGGCCGTCACGCATGTCACACCAGGGCCGTCACGCGTGTCACACCAGGGCCCTCGCGCATGGCACCGGGCCGTCACGCGCCGCGCCCGTGCAGAATGCAAGCCCTCGCTCCACGAGGGAGGGCTGCCGCACGCGGCCCTTCGTGACCACTCGTCGCTGCCTTTATTTGTCTCGTTATTCAAGAGTAGTGGCGCAGCAGGTTCTCGTTAGTGCCCTCTGCTCCGGTGCTGTGGGGAAGGTGCGCTGGCTGTTAACAGCTGCCACTGCGAGTCCAGTGCAATGTGGCCGCGTGCCAGCGAGAACGGGTTGAGTCACCTGTTCAGCTGCGGAGAGAGCGCTGTGCGAGTTGCCCGATGCGGTGCGCGCTTTCTCGGCGCCCCTGAGACGAGGAATGACACGGTCCGCAGTGATTTCCTCCTCGAGTGGCCTTTGAAGCAGTGCTCTTCGTAATACTGGATGTTAGCATTTCCACATTGATATGGTAAGTCTAACCATCCGTCAAGCACTGTTGACTTCCCTGCAGGAGTCGTATTAATTGTATCGACACCCAGAGGGGGCATGATGGGCTGAATCAATCCACAACCAGGATTTTAACTTGTAACCTTCCGATTACAAGCCGCTCACTCTACTGCTGTGCCACACGTCCAGAGTGCAGAGATGGAGTGTATGCATTGAAAATGGAAAGTGATGTTTGTGTGTGTGTGTAAAATGTACAGTATGTCCAATCTTGGGAGGGAGAAGTGGAGTGCTGTAACCATGGGTTAGCTATGCTGTGGGATTCTGGGGAAATGTTTACCCATACTTCACCGCGCTGGTAAATACAGGTTGGTGAACGGGGCAGGGGCTAACGACCAGTTCAGATATCAATCACCACTAATGCTGGACGTGGCCTGGAATCGATCTCCAGCACCGTGCATGAATCACTGGACAGTCGCTCCATCCCCACGTTTTATATGGAGCAGAAAATACATTTTACTGCATGTAACTGAAATATGAGCGGTAAAAAAAACATATATAGTGGCATGTTGAAGTTTAGTAAAACAAATAGATATATATATATATATAACTAGACTGTGCTGTAAGCTTTGAGATATCAAGTCGAGCATTCTCGAACCGCGATTGTGAAAAGTGCTCATCGCTGCTAATCCCCTCAATCGCCGTAGTTCCAGTGCTGCGGCGGGCAGGACTACACCGACTGGAGGGTGAATGTCTATCACTCGTGCTCCTCGCCGGGCCCGGCCTCCTGCGGGGTGCCGTACACCTGCTGCGATGTGCTGGAGGTGCGGCGACCGGCGTGGTCGCGGTTGCGCACGGAGAGAGAGCGCCGCCGCTGACGACGACAACGATGCCTATGCTGACGCTGACGATGCCTACGACGACGCTGACGATGCTGACGACGCTGACGATGACGCTGACGATGCTACCGATGCTAACAACACCGACGCCGACGACGACAACGCCCACACGCTTTTTGCTTTGCACGCGGACTATCTTTTAAAACGGAATCAGAAATGAGATTGATTGCTTATAATGTGGAAATCAGAATCCGAATATTTATTTAGACCGGAGGAGCTTGTCAAGCTCTTTTTCACAGATGTCCAGTTGGGGCGGGCAAGAACGTCACAGGGGTGGGAGGGAGTTCGAAACAAAAACATTCGGTCAACGTTGAACGAACTTTAAACCAGCGGTTCTCTCGCCCGTGGGTCGTGCGGGCTTTTCGGGATGGGTACTGTGCAGGATACAATTCGGATGTTCACGGGGAGCATCGGCGCCGAGTTGCGAAACGCATGCCTTACATGCACAAAGTATACTCGTACCGCTACATGAGAAACATGCCTTACTCATTCATAATCAAGTTTTTGGGTTTAGATCGCGTTATTTATAAATGTGTCGTAACCCTCCACCACCCGACACGGCCAATCAGTTATAAATAACGCGATCTAAACCCAAAAACGTTGATTATGAATAATATTGGTCGCGAAAGCCTACGTGTTAAAATGCCTTACTCACACAACATATTATCATACAACAACATGACACACTCTCCTTACCAACACAACACATTCTGATACACGGCACGAGAAAGAAATGCCTACCAGAAAGCACACGAATACACAACGTGAAACGCATACCTTTCTAGCACCGCAGTGACTAAGCTGCATGGACATGTGTCCTCTAGGTATTGTGGCCAAAGTCACTTTGCTTGTGTGTTTGGGATGGAGGGTGGTCATGGAGGAGGGGGGGGGGGTAATGTAGGAGACCCAGTGGTCTGTAGAAACCCACCGTTTTTAATTAACCTTCAACGCCCACACAGAATGAGGGACGATTCGGTCTGCTTTTTGTCTGTCACGTGTTCTACTCTGGGTCTCATCCTCTGTGTATACGAGGCGAGGCCAGGGCTTGATTTAACTAATTTCCTCCATGTCGTCCAGCACCCCTCCAACTGGCCGCAGACAGTAGTCATGGGGTCTTCACCAAACTGGCAACTGATGCCAGTGCTAATAAACGTGCCAACATTTTTTTACTTGCCAATGGCATGGGGCCGACATTCAACAATGGAGTACACGTGTCCCACATTATGTTTAACATTCCAAAAGTCAAGACGGTACTAAGTTTGGGATTGGTTCTTTTGCAAACGATACGGTCCATCAAGACAAGTGGATACACATTGCATCTGCTTTACATTCGGGAACAATTGAATCGCGCCCGGTTTTCTGCAAGCCGTTAGCTTCTGCAGTTAAGTAGTATTTAGACAAGTGGATATTTTTTTCTCTCAATGTTCTAGATGCACGTGCCTTTTATTCAGTTACTATATTACGTAAACTTTTACATGTCTCCTCATGTAATTATTTATGACAAAAGTTGCATTTGCAAAAAGTATGCATTAGATTTATCCCTCTGCGTTTTCCACGCTGGCTCTATTGCACGTAACTTTTGCTTCTGTGCTGGGTATGCTTTCTAAACTCAGGTTTCCCTTGATTAATAAAAAAAAAATAGACTTTAACCCTCAAAGGGATTTTATCTGATTATCCATAAAGCACTTGAGCGTAAGTAATGCTAAAATGCTTCTCATCCTGTTGCTGCCACTTTCGAATTTTGTTACATTGAATATCTTCTAAGAAAAACTAAACCATTGATGTTTTGAATGGGTCATAAATAATTATCAGACGTATTTCCCCGTGCAATTCGGTGCATTTCAAAGCACCGCGTTGACAATTGACCTTTCATTTTGCAAGCATTTTACATGTGGGTCATGCATATCCAACCTTTAAAAATAATACAAAATATTCTGAATCTAATTTTAATGAAAGCTACATTATTAACCAGTGGCACATTTATTCAGCCTCACCTGGTGCTCGGCCCCCCTGGTTGACGGTGCAGTTTGCGTGCATCACAGGTTTAGCTCCCTGTGGCGTAATGGTCAGATAATGGAATTGCAATGCAGAGGTTTGCCAGTTCCATTACATCTCGTGGCATGGCAGTTGAAACAAAGGGCGATGTTTCTCAATTCCCGCCCGCCTCTGTCCACCCAGCAGTACATATATATGTATTAAAGTGCATCAGAGTTGATCGGCATATCGCGTACGGTGGGGTAAAGTGTGGGTACGCCCACGTCCCCCAACACACTTGGCCAGCGGGGTTAGAGTAGACCAAGTAACCTCTCGCGTTCGCTTCACCGGAGGTACTTCTACTACCAGCAGTAGAGTGAGCAGGCAATTGCATGGCTGCAACTTTTAACCTTTTACAGTCTAATGCGCCGGCGTTGCTCCTTGGGCATGCATGTGATTAAAGGTTCTGTCCTCTAAATGATTCATCGGTCACCCTTTATTTCTGTCTGTTTGCCGAATCTGCTTCTGGAACAAGAGCCATGTCCAGCCAGTCCCTCTCGCTCGCATCTCACTCTCTCGCTGTGTTTGTCCACAGGGTTCGCAGCCTGTCAAAAACACGCAGTGCGGTTTTGGAGCCCTGAAACTGGAGGCAAGTGTTTTCATCGCCTGATTTAGTTACGCAACACGCGCGCACACACAGATGTTTTCGGGGATGCTGCCCAGGGTTGCTGATGTTCAACGCGCTGGACTTCGCAATTCAGAGTTGGTCGTTTTGATTCGGTCTGCCGGAGCGGCAGTTGAAGCGGTGGACCACGTGCTCCTTGAGTCGCCCCAGCCCCGGCGTCCGTCACGCGCGGCACGGTTTAAAGTGGTTCCACCAAACTCTTTGGGTCTTTCGGTAAAGTCGCGTAAATAGAAAAATAATGAAAAAAATCACGACGTTTCGATCGCAACACAAGCAATCGTCATAGGAGAGGCCACAAGACTCTCGAGATGGGGGCTCTGTAGAGCTCACTCTAGCGGCGGGCCTCCCGTCAGCAGTGGTGTGAGCAAACAATTGCAGCGCTGCACCTTCACCTGTTACCATTACACACGTGCATAGGCAGTGGGCGCTGACCTTTGAAAACACTCACTGCCATTAAGACTGCTGTTATAGTGGCCAAATATGCTGATGGCTGACATATTGGGTCATGCTTTTTTAATAACAGAGAGGGGAAGGTGTTAGGAAGTGTTGATGGGCCCTATAGCACCGTGGAGTGTAGCGGGGGAGAGCGGTAGTGCAGTGGTTCATTTCCTTTGGCCTTAGTTCGGTTCCCAGGCGCACTGGCTAACATGTGGCGAGTGACATCAGATCCTGCCCTGGTCAACTTCGCCAGCGTTCGCTGACCAACACAGCGTGGGGGGAGGCCATGATCCAGCAATGTATTCACTCGGGCTGAAAGCTACTTGAACCACGTTTTAAATCATTTATATTAAGTTCACTTGCTTGCGTGCTTGCTTGCTTAGGACCGTGCACATCTTTCGGTCGTTTTTTAACCCACTTCCCGTGATCCAATCGAGCTGACATTTTCCACACAGATTCGTTGTGCCAGACAATTAATGTTCGTGAAAAAAAATTCCCAAAATGTTACACTTTTTAGGCAAAAAAAAAATATTTTACATATATTCAAATAGAACTCATGCATGGCTTTGGCTGAACGTCAGAGTGTAAGAGCCCAGAGCGTAACCCCTCCACAGGCCGTGGCGGAATAGCGCAGTTAGTAGCGCCCTCGCTTCCCATGCCAAAGGTCGCGGGATCGATCCCCGCGTCCTCCACAGGCGAATATATTTTTAAATCCTTTATATTAAGTTCGCTGCCACGCATATAAAGGATTTAGATTGAAAAACTATGTTTTTACGGGTTAATTTTTTCATCACTGTGTTGCATAACACAGTGATGCGCATACAGGCAGATCCATTTCTACAAACCACGCTGTCTCGGCCATCTTTACAGGTTATTAAACATCGTCACCGTTGGTGAGATTTTGAACTGCAAAGTCGCTTTAATTGCTCCCTGTTATTTGACGAGTCGTTCTGTAATATTTTTTTCATTTCTAATCCGGTGTGAACGGTGACGGTGGCGAAGTTGTTTTGGTCTTCGCATATACACTGCTGACAACGGTGCAGTCCCTTGCACAAATTCGTTGGGCAGCGCGAGTCCGTACACAGCAATGAATGTTATTACATTCGAGAGAGGAGGGGGCATTTCAAGATGCTTGGTTCCTCATGTTAAGAGGCATCTGTTGCAGCGTCTGGGACACAACAATTTAATTTGGTATGTGTGATTTGTTTGTATGTGGGCTGCTTGCAATGAATGGGCAGAGCAACAGAATAATTAGGTTTGATCTGATTCTCTCCGCAGCTCTCAGTGGTATAAATAATATGTTGTTATTTTCCATTACCGGGCTAAATGTCACGCATTATTTTTTTAATATGGTGAATAATAAAAATACATTCATCTTTTTCTGGTTACCATTTTTGTGCAGTATGTATGCATTTGAGGTGGGCCGGTGGCATAGTGGTTTGCACGCACTGTGTTTTTAAATCCAGCAAACTGAGTTTGATTCCCGGCTGGGGTCTAACATCATTGGTGAGTGATGCCTGGCTCTCCCCCACTTTCACCAACCTGCACATGGCAAGCATGGTGTGAAGCATGATCAAATGTCCTTCATCCAGCAGTGGATCGACATGGCTGTACATACACGCATGGAATTAGTCCAATATCATATATGAAATGTAACGTGTTTTTGTTAACGGAGGTTTGTGTGTTCGTGTCGGGGAGAAATAATGTATCGGTTCATACACTGTGCTATATTACCTCAGTGGCCTGAGACTGATTCATGGCCATGCATTACAATAGCACCATCAACCTGGCCTGGACTTCTACGAGGTTAACTCTGCCTAAAAGATAACAACACGCTGCACTGTCAATATCTGTACAAGAGAGGCAAAGACAGCAGGGAGTGGATTATGCTGGCCCCACCACCCCTTCGTTTGCTATTTTAACCTCAATAGTCACTCACGATTGTTGCTGGGGGGCAGAGGAGCGATGCTCACAACAACGACCAGCGCTCCGGGGCTGATAAAACAATCTGGCAACAGCGGGGAGCACAGGTGGTATAATTGGCCACGTCATCTCAATCGGCTAACTCGTAACACCTGGGTCTTTCTCGTGACCTCCTGCAAGCAAGCCTTCCAACACTTCACGTGTCGGCCTCAAAGAATGCACTTGGCCTGGTACAAGCGCTTGTGGTGACAGCACCACCACTTAATGGCGAATGGCGCCTGTGTGGTTGCTGCTCTTAATGCTGCTGCTGCTGCTGTTGTGCCCTGGTGTCTGCTCCCGTGTGTGTGCGTGCGCGTGTGTGTGTGTGTGCGTGTGCGCGCGTGTGTGTGCGCGTGTGCGTGTGTGCGTGCGAATGTGCAGCGGCTGCAGCTCCGGGGTCAGATTTACACGCGGGGCTGCGTGGACGCGCTGCTCATCTGGCTCATCGACCACTACACCGTCATGGCGGCCATCCTGATGGGCTTCCTCTTGCCTCAGGTTAGAGGGCTCCCTCTGGCATTTAACATGTCCCGACATTCCAATTGGACATGACCACCCCGACAATCCTCTCCGGCACTGCGCGGTTGCCGTTTTTGCTGCTGTTGTTGACATTTTCAGTTTCTATCACTATTGTAAAGCAAAGGAATGCCAGCACAATCACCACCGCCATTAGCAGTTCCTATTTCTGTCACTGACATAATCAGCATCAACATTAACTGGCATTTTTTAAAATCGACAACATAATTAGGCATGTCACGTTACATTTCATCATCATCATCAATGATTAGACCGTTTCTGGATGAAGGCATTTCACAAAATGCTATGAGTCCAAAATCTATCTCACCTAACAGAGGAGCCGATTAACCTTCTTGGTTCTTTCGGTAAAGTCACGTAGAATGGAACGTCGTGAGAATAATTTTATTATGTTTTATTTTTATTATTTTATTATTTCCATTCTACGTGACTATACTGAAAGAACCAAGAAGATGAATCCCTGCAGTCACGAAAGCTTTAAATCGAGAGGAGCCGATCTCATTGCTTCAACTCTGCAGCGTTCATCACAATCGTCATGGGCGTGTTTTCTCCTTCGGCTGCCATTCCATCACCAGTTTTGTCCATAAGTCATCAACCCTTTTAGAGATGTGTCCTGCCCATGGCCACTTTCCATGTAAAGAATGTACTAGTATGTGCCATTTGTATCGTGACCTATATAGCCACGATTGTCACTAAGGTCTGTACCAGTATATATCTGTACCATCACAGGACGCCCATTAAACGGAGCCTAACAGCTTTTGGCGGCGCTTCCTGCTGAAATTAATGAAATCTTATCTAAATCTATACATCTATTTTCCTTAGCAGTCTGTAATTTGTGTTTGTTCCCTTATCCATGTGTTCCCCTTTCTCTCTCGAGTGTTATTCTAAGCGTGTATTTGTCTCTGCTTCCTTGCACAACCTTGCAGCATTTGTTCCGCATTCTCTGTCAGTGCCCCTGTTGCCGTAGCCCATATTTCGTCAGCGGGTAATAAACACCAGGTGGATACTTCCATCTCTTGCCGTGACAGCGTTATCACAATCGGGACAAAATTGTGGGGGAGAAAAAACTACAAGAGAAGAAGAACCTCACCAATAATAGAGGTTTTTGGGTGGTAGATCGTGTAAATATATAAATGTGTCGTTAAACCGCCACCACCCGACACAGCCAATTAGTAAGGTTCGTCACGTAAACAGAACGTGCCAATTCGTTACTAGTACAACACACCGGTGTGTGTGGAGAGCCAAGCCACAACATTTACAATACGAGTACGACGTTTCACCGGTAATTACAACTAGCTTCATCAAGCACACACCACTTTGCTGTACTAGTAACGATGTTCTGTTTACGTGACGAACCTCACTAATTGGCTGTGTCGGGTGGTAACAAGTTTAACGACACGTTTATATATTTACGCGATCTAACCCAAAAAACCTGTATCATGGATGATATTGGTCGCAAAAGCCCCTACGTGTTAAACTGAAGAACATCGCTTCTCTCAAAGTGTGCAGTGCTACGTAGTCAAATTGATCGTCTCTTGTCGGTGCGCTGGTATTGCTCAGCCTTTAATGTTGCTTTGTTTGCATTGCAGCTTGCCGGCATAATTCTGTCGTGGTGCTACATCGGACGGCTAGAGGACATCATTCTGCAGAACGAGCAGCAAGAGCAAGAAGAAGCTCGTGATGCGTTCATAGAGGAAGCAGAGGCGTGAACAGAAGACGTTGCATACTGTGTTGCACTGCACGCACGACCACGCACGTGTGCGTACACGAACGCACACACGCACGTATGTACGCACGCACGTATACACTCCAGCATTCATACGCACAAGCGCCATGACGAAGATCTACATCGCAACAGTTGTAAAATAGAAAATAATGCTCATATCGCTCTGGTATATTAATAAACGTGTGCAAGTGTGTGCAACGTGCCTATATGAATAATTTGGAGAATTTTGTTTCATTATATTTAATAGAAAGTCGTAATATTTCCCGCACCTCCAATTCGCGAGGTTGGCTATGTACAGTGCGAAAGAAGTCCAACATACATTACAACTTGTACTGTTTGAATAGCAGAGGCAAGTTTTACATTAAAAAAAACCTGCTGAAAAGCTCCGATGCTTTTCCGATGCTTTTATTCTATTTCCATCGCTGAGTTATCCCTCGTGCACAATGTGAGTTATTTAATAAAGAATTTATTTGGGATGGAGGATATAAAGATGATATTACGGCAAAAAACACGCGCAAGGACTTTGTAGTTTGCCATTAAAAACACACCGGATTTTACAAACAAACTATAGAATAGTCTAAAAACATACCTCCCAATGTTTTGCTCGTTCATGATCATGTCAAAATAGAAAAATGTGCTTTGAACAAGTCCATTGCCAAAATGTCACATTTTATATACATTTCATTTTTAGTACGAATGTGAGTCTTGATTTGTTGCGCTTATGCGCCACTGCCAACGCAGTATCACAAAAAGTCATCGTCAATCATCGTCATTTTATATAATTGCTAATCTTTGTTGTCACATTGTACAAGATGAGTCTCCCAAGATGCTTTTACTCGCTGCATGTTTGCCTCTCCGTGAAAAATGAGACACCGCTTCAAACCGCGTCTCTCTCTCTCTATGACTTCACCAAATGCCACTGGAAGCTCCCTGCATTCACGCCACACGTCTTGACTTGCGTGCAAATGATCATGGTGGACTGTTTTTTGTGTTCACATTTTTTTGTTTTGTTTTAAAGTTGTTGGTTGAATGGCGTTCATGAGCTCACACATCTGTGTGAAGCTGCCCTACCCTCCCCCCCTCCCCAACTCGATGATGGCTAAGAGACACACTTTTATACGTGTTTTTAATTAAATTATAATGCACCCGTCGGCAAACTATTAATGCCTATTTAATTATTCAATCAGGGCAAGTAATTTGTTGTTAATTGTGGCACAATTGCTTGGGGGTCCTTTCCAGGAGCATTTAACGGAGACTTTTACTCCACACGATGTGGCACGTGGCCTTTTAATTAACAGCGGGGCTTTGAGATGTAAATGTTTAATACCCGATTAATGACTTGACTTTGAAATAAAAAGTAACGGATCACTGTGTTTTAGTCGAAAGGTCTGTCAACATGTATTGGAACTGGTTGCGCTGTTTGGCCTACTATTAAACTAGTTCAACAAAATTATAAGCGGCCTTATTTAACCAACTGTCACGCATAATTTCACTTGAATCCACGCACATTTGTGCGTAGATCTATAATGCAGTGAAATTGGTGCGTGATTATTTCGCATGCTGCTTTTCAATATCGCGCACGATCATTTAGGGGCTCAATTTTTCTGACAATGCGGCAGGAGTGTTTCATCACCGGTCAGTATCAAGCCGTGCGCAATGTGTCACTCTACCTGATGCAATTGACGAGTGCAAGGCAGCGCAATGCTGCTTCAGAAACGTTTCACTTTTAAAACCTATGCCCAGAGTGATGAAGGCTTTGCCTCGCCATCTCGTCACAATGACCAGGTTCATCTTCTTGGTTCTTTCGGTAAAGTCACGTAGAATGGAAATAATAAAATAATAAACGCTGCCAAGCCTGGTGGTGTTCATTCAAACGCTGTCTTTCTGACAGACCTGTTCTTCACCTGAGGACGGCTGCTTGCGTTGTGGCCGTAACGTCGTGAGAATTATTTTATTATGTTTTATTTTTATTATTTTATTATTTCCATTCTACGTGACTTTACCGAAAGAACCAAGAAGATGAATCACTGCAGTCACGAAAGCTTTAAATCGAAATTCAGGGCCAGGTTGATGAAGGAGAGAGTGGTTTAGGAGCAGGTTCGAATATCGCCACTGATGGTAGCCGTGGCCAGGAATCGAACTCGCAGCACCGGACTCAGAAAGCGATTCGCGAGCCACCGTGTCATCGCTCCACTTGTGTCCGGTCGCGTGCACCCCGTACACGGTGTGCTGTGTGTGTGCCACACGTGCGTTTAAACAAGAACAAGTAAACCCGTAAAAACAAAGTTTTTCACTCTAAATCCTTTATATGCGTGGCGGCTAGAGTTCTCTCGTCCTCTGGCTTGAGATGGCTGAAATCTATGGGTCAGATGATTGTCTGCCAGTATTAAGCAATTGGTAATTAAATATTTAATTAGTTTTCCCTAAACAGTGTAAAATTTTGGAAAAAAAATTCACGAAAATTAATTGTCACACATAACGAGTCTGTGTGGAAAATGTCAGCTCGATTGGATCACGGGAAGTGGGTTAAAAACGAGCGAAAGATTTGCACGGTCCTAAGCAAGCAAGCAAGCACGCGAACTTAATATAAAGGATTTAAAAATAAGCATACGCATTGCCTCATTCGCATCTGTCCCTCTGCAGGAAATATTAAGAGTTATTTAGACACCTCCTATCAGCGCCCACAGCCTTCTGGGAGTGCAGTATTCGAGCAAGATCGTTTCAACACAAGCAAACTGGACTGTTGTTGACATTTAATGTCTCCTGAGCAGTCGTGCTTGCTTGAACCAATGCTGGTGACCGGGTTAGGTGTGTTCTGTATCGGGAATTTGTTTTGGTTTGGATATTAACCGACAACACTAATGATTATTTTATTTCTTCTAGATTTGAAGCTTTCGTGACTGCAAGGATTCATATTCTTAGGTGTTTTCGGTAAAGTCACGTAGGTAAAACATTTAAATTAATAAAAGTCGTGCATTCTTTTGGCCCCGCCCCCCTCCCCCCCGATACGTTCCATTCATTGGCTACCACATTCTGATGAGCCCCCCCCCCCCTCTCCTCCCCCCTCAACTTGCTTTTAAGGGATTACATCTTGAATCATTGCCTCACTTGATGCAGCAAATCTGGCTGTGACGGTCCCACCTGATGACGGAGACTTGTGTTGCCTCCGAAATGTCGTGATTTTTATTTTATTTTACTTTTATTAATTTTAATGTTTTACCTACGTGACTTTACCGAAAACACCTAAGAATATTTTATTTCTGTTTGTGGCTCATCCAATTAGCACCCCGCACCTCCGATTAATACGGTTGGCTACGTACGGTGCGAAAGCTGTTCAACATAACGTCCATATGTTGGTATGCACACAGGAAATGGTAACATGTTCCGCACCGAAATAATCCCGGTGGCATTTTGGGACAATGGCTCTTCATTGCCCTCGAAAGGTACCTTGAAAAATGTTGATGTAATACGAAGAAAGGGCATTATTGCTCTAAGACATTTCCCATGATATACTTTTCCTTTTAAGGCCTCCGTGTTGTCATTGGCGAATGTGAGTTGTGTTTTTTCGTGATTGTGCACCATTGCACACACAGGATCACCAAATAATTTATTGTGAAAAAAAAAGTAACCTGCTTTCCCTTGTTACCCAAGCATCTCGCTGAAATCTCAATGGGCCCTGGCCGAGTAAAACACAGCACACTTAGTAGTGCAGTATGTATGTATGCATCGCCTGTCTGCTCCAACACATGCACACATATCATACCTGTGCACCGGCAACTCTTCTTTTCTGCGCCGCATGAATCATTTACTGCAAGACAGGCATTTAGATTGCATTGATGTCCATGATGGTGCTTTACCCAGGAAAGCTTCGCTTGGGTCTCGTGACTTTTTTTCAGCAGGGCTCTGCCAAGTTTTTGCAGTCGGGGAGGGGGGGGGGGGTGCAATGATTGCCACGAATAATCACAATTGAGTAATCTGCGGTGCTACTCTTCAAATGTGGACCATGACGCCGGCAGTCAATGATAAATGATCCGCGCGCTCGCCTTCGAAGCGCTCTGCATTGCGACGTCACACACATGGCACACGTCTGTGGCCTCCATCCCATCAAGCGCTGCATTGATCGGTTTGGGAATCCATCAGCGCTGGGAGCGGTCCAGGGCATTCACCCTCGTGTGGTGGCCAACGCGGGGTCGCGTCGAACCGTGCGGTGGGGGAACAAAGCGGTCGCCTCCGTCGCATTGTGCACCACCACATGGGGGTAGACAAACGTGGAGCGGGTGGGCACGTGACCGAGCCGGGGATTGAGGTACAGAAAAACAATTAAAGGTGCAGCCCTGCAATGAATTGCGAATGCCATTGCTGGTAAAAAAAAAACATCTGAACTTGAGGGATCTCCAGAGGGAGCCGCGACCGCGTGTTTTGCCCGACTCTTCCACGCCAGCGAGATGTCTTTGAAAGGGGATGGGAGTAGCGACACTTTATCACACCACATGCAACCTTTCAGTCGACTAGTGTACCCATTAATACTGCCGGGTGGACAGAGGCGGTGGCTAAGAATAACTGCCACGCCAGGAGATCAAACCGGCGACCTCTGATGTGTAAGTCGAGTGTGATGAACACAACACCAGGGGCAATGACATAACACCGCTGGCAAGGAATGCAAATTGGCTGCCCCCTTCCAAATGCCCTCGTCAACAGTCCACTTGCGCCTGGGTCCCCTCTGCTCCGTGGATCCCGCTGTAATTGCGCTGGTCCTCTTACTTCGTAGCGACGAAACCGGTGGCGTGGTACCCAGCCGTGCCAGACAGTCTGGCTGTAGCCTCGGGGAGCTGAGGTCACATTCGCAGATGGCATAAACAGCTGCTGTCAAAGACTTGTGTGATGCATCTTTATCAGTGCCAGCCAGCCAGCTTGCGGGGGTCTGGAATGATTTGTGTGTGTGTGTTCATTACACACAGGTCTCGTGGGGAAATATTTACCGCAACTCGGCCCCAGAAAATATGAAATTAAGCCCTGTGCGTTACCACGTCGACCGAAATGCGCCCAGTCTCCCCAGGGCCATTGCCTAAATGTCACCTATTATAGACATTTCCTTTTCAAGGCCACAGTGTTATTGACGAATGTGTTAAGTTTTTTTATGGTTGAGCTCTGTGAGTAATTGGTTAGTAGAGTTCATGAGATGCGTGGTAGTTAAGAGATGGCAATACAGCACTGGAAGCTTGACTCGATCCGTGCAGATGTTGGAGTGCTACCCAAGATCGATTGTGCGTGGGTTTTCTCCGGTCACGCTGGCTTTTTCCCACGCGTCACTCGATGAAACCCTGCTGAACGCTCTTAAACAAGAGTCTTGAGGTTCCGTGTTGTTTAAAAGAGAAGAAATAAATGGCGTTGCACGCTGTGCCGTACATAGGTCTTGAATCGTGTATTTGCATCCTACACAGGTGTTGAACAAACCACATACACACACGCACCCATATTACGTGCTCTATATGGGGCCTGAATGAATTCGCGTTTGCGTGTGCATTCCACATGGGTATTACGGTGTTTCCAACACAGCAATGCGATGTGCGTGCTATACACGGGTGGCGAATGCATGGTGTGTGTCTTTGGGATGGGAAGCGGTAGTGTAGCAGTTAGCAGTTAGTGCGCCGCGCCACGCACTTGTCGACCCGAGTTCGATTCCCTCTCAATGCCAAAACCAGTGACGATTTTATCTGAACGGATCCTGGGCCTCCGCTACGTCGACTCAGCCTCAAATGAGCACCTGGAGTGGTGTGTAAACATTGCCACTCGGGAGACAAAGGCGGCCGGGCGTGGTGCTCGCCACACGCCTCTCATGTGCCGTGCCAGCCTTCATAGGTGATGCCTAATGGCACCTGCCCCAACAGTCTGTTACATGCTATACGGGGAATCTTTGTCTTCGTGGTATACACATGGGTCTGGTATCGTGTATGCGCATATATAAGGCACATGTTTATATATATAAATTGTACTTGTGTAGAGAGATTGTACGTGTCTACACCACATGGGTTTTTAATAAACGGTGTGTGAGTGTGTAGTATAGCGCTTTGGCTATCGAACTGGCCGGTGAACCCGATGACCTGATTATCACTCACTACCAACTTGAGTGGCTAATATCTGAACCAGCCCTGCACCTACCCTTGGTCGACATTGCCTCGGATAAGTAGCTGTCAAATTTTTCTAAGCATCACCACTGGGGAGATAAAGTCGGTCGGAGTGGTGCTGTCTAAACTAACCCCTCGTGTGCCCTGCAGACCTTCATAGGCACGCTCGCTAATGCCACTTGTTAAGGGGCCGTCCATAAATGACGTCACGCGATTTTGGACAATTTTTTACCCCCCCTCCCCCCACTTCGTCACACGGCGTCACAAAAAGACAGACCCCCCCTCAAATATGACGTCACAAAGCTCTGCCCCCCCCCCCCAAAAAAAAACATGCTTCAAATCGCTTTAAACTATGGCCATTGTAGTGTGTATTTAATGTGGCGCTGCACTCTGATGTTGTAGGAGAAAACATTTATTAAAAAGTCTATTTAATTGTGTTGTCTATATTTATTTAAAGTTGCCCATTTTGCTGTGACGTCACATTTCTCAACCCCGGTCCCTCGTCACACATCGTTACAAATGTCTGAACCCCCCCCCCCCCCCTAGGTGCGTGACGTCATTTATGGACGGCCCCTAAGGCCGGAGATTGTATAAAACACATGCGCACATATACGTGGGTCTTGAATAAATTGTGTAGATATGCATATTACTGTACAGTATAAGTGTGTTCTATTTTTATTGTTTATATGGACCATATCAGTGTGTTTGCCATATATAGCGACGCTTGTGTTCACCCACGAGCATTAACCCGGCGTTCATTTTCCACTCGCGAGGTCTTTCCCCCACCTGTCCTGACAACAGAAGCATTCGTGTGTGCATCGCGACGAAGCGTCACGGCGTGACAATGTTTTGTTGTTGGGGCCTCTTGGAGGTGATGCAAAAGAAAGCCTCTCCGAGTTGCTCATCGCCTATGCGATTGAAACACAATTTAGGTTTTTTTTATTGTACCATGTAAGGCCCACTGAGCTACGTTGGCTCTTTTTTTCAGAAGCGACTTGGCAACAAATGATAGCTCAACGAGGTGGTTCATCGCGTGGCAATGTAAGGCAGCCAAATCCTCTAAACGCGTGTTTATAAATGCGGAGGGGAAAACCGGAGAACTCGGAGAAAAATCCCGACGAACACGGGGAGAGAGAGAGACGCAGACTCGAAAGACACAGCAGCAGGCGTCAGGGTCGGAATGGAACCCACGACCTCCTGTATACCAGGCGAGGTAGCTACCATCTCCTAGCCACCGTGGCGCCGCAGGAGGTGAAACACAAGAAGTCTGTCCATGTGGCGCGCCTCACCTCTGCTCGCCGCCGTCCTCGTGGGTCGTCTGGGAACGCAAAGCGGCTGGGGGCTCCGTGCCGCTGCAGACAGTGGCGGTGCCACGGAGTGATTGGGGGGCCCGAAGCAGAAATTCATTTGGGTGCGCCACACGACTGAAAACATGTGCTGCGAAAAGGCACGTAAATTAATTACGCCACAGTTGTGTGACATTATTAAATCACTAGACGAATTACATTTGTTTTAATTGTGTTATTTGAATGACCAGATTTGTTTGATTGTATAAGGCTCTGAGTTCGATTTGGTGTATCCAAATATACGTTTTTTTTATCATGAATTGCGGGCCCCATGTGATTCTTAGGACGCTAAGCTTAGATTGCCTATGCCTATTGCCTTCGGTAACAGAGGTTACCTCGGGTCGGCAAGACTTTGCGCAGGTGAACTTACAGCGGTTTCACATTTGGACATGACAGTAACTCCGTGGCTGAGTTGTGGGTGCAGTGAGATGAAGGGGAATGGGCTGGATGTCGCGTCCCCTCATGCTTGCCCGGCCATTCATCAAAGTCGAACCACATTACACCACGTGCGCCACAGATCTGGGAAATTGAGCATGAGCAGGTGATTGCATGACCTCTGGGACAAAAAAACAAACGCACTCCCTAACTTAAACACAAGTGAGAAAGTTACAAGTGCGGCATGGAGCGATGTAAACGAGGATGTTGTTTTTTACCTAATGAAGAGGGACAAAATGAATTATTCAATTTCCTGAAGAAGCTCTCAGCTTGTGGTGTAAATCATTGCGCATCGTGGTGAAGAACGCACAGCTGAAAACAAAAACACATCGTAGGGCTGCACAACACAACCGCAATCACCTACGCAGTGGTAAAACTTTACTTATTAAATCCTTTATATTAAGTTCGCTTGCTTGCTTAGGACCGTGCAAATCTTTCGGTCGTTTTTTAACCCACTTCTCGTGATCCAATCGAGCTGACATTTTGCACACAGACTCGTTGTGCGTGACAATGCATTTTCGTGAAAATTTTTTTCCAAAATGTTACACTTTTTAGGGAAAATGTTTTAAATATTTATTTACCAATTGGTTAATGCTGGCACACAATCTGACCCATAGGTGGCAGCCATCTCAAGCCAGAGGACGAGAGGACTCTAGCCGCCACGCATATTAAGGATTTATAGTGAAAAACTTTGCTTTTACGGGTTAATTTTTTTTAACGTCAGCCTTAATGAAAACAACACAGGGGTTGGCGTCGTCTTTCTGAAAGTTGAACCAAACTGCACTCGTTCGCCTGAGAATTTATCTTTTATTTCCATGACTGTTGACGACAGTCTATTAGCACCAGATTTATGAGCTCACGGTTTTCGGCGGTGGGGGGGGGGGGGTATATTTGTGTAAAAATAAATAAATTGGACGGCTGAAAGTGGACATTTTTTTTTCTAAACCGATAGCAGCAAATGGAACAGCAGACAGCAGAGCTGCCGCAGAGCCCACTAGTGACACGGCACTGACGGCCGCCGACTGTGAATGCGTTCCACGGGAAGCGTTTGGCAAATTAAAGACGGCCAGGTGGGGTTCGCGTCAGAGGTCGCAAACGGGTTTTGATTCCTTACCCGTACCCGGCCGCACCAGGGTCGCAAACGGGTACCCGTACCCGGCCGTACCCGTACCCTACCCGTACCCGGCCGGGTACAGGTAGGGTACGGGTATCGGGTACCTGATTGCGACCTCTGGGATGAAGCCATGTTGCAGGCGCGGGTGGGTTGATTCTAGGAACTTGAATTGTGAGAAGAGACAAGACGTTGGGAAATGAGTGACAAACGGTGACTCACCAGTGACTCACGGCCTACCCGTACCCGTACCAGGCCGCATCAGGGTCGCAAACGGGTACCCGTACCCGGCCGGGTACGGGTAGCCGGGTATCGGGTAGGGTACGGGTATCGGGTACCCGGTTGCGACCTCTGGTTCGCGTCCCCCATTGGCCAAGTTGTCCATCTCCTGGGAGGGCCCGCGGGTCCTAGCGCACGGCTCAGGGCGTCCGCCATGAATGTTCAGGCGAGGCGCTGCCACACAGCAACCCGATGGAAGCGCCGTCAATTTGTGCGCGAGTGTGTTGGAAATGTATCGTGTGTGTGTGTGTGTGCACGCAGAGATCTTTCTAACGCATATCTGTGTTGCTTTATATCGAAAAGGAGAACAGCCGTTGTGTTGTGTTTGCTACTGAAGGTTTCAGTTTGCAAGTTTGGGGCCGTTTGAATTTAAGTTGGTATTTTCCACGATCTGGTTGTTCTATGAGATGCACGCTTATCAATATCTTCTCACGTATGCATGTGTCGCTTTATGTTGAAATGAGAGATGTGGTTAATGTGTGTGCCACAAAGGTTCCGGTTTTTACATTTTATGCAATTTGGATTTTAAGCGATGTTGCCATCACCTGGATATTCTATGGCCGCTTTTTCAGTGCACCATCTCTAAACGTAATGGAAATGACAACACTTTCTGTAGGCACAAAGAGTGCATTGTATCCTCACAGTTACTATAAGTCGAGGTGAGCAGTGGTGCAGTAGTTAGCACACTGCACGATGATTCCCAGCCACGGCTGACAGCATTGGTAAATAATAGCTCAACCAGTCCTGGGCACTCTCTCTCCTCAACCAACCCACAGTGACCAGCGTGTTGAAATATGGTCAAATAATTCCCTTTATGCTATTTTAAAATAATAGCAAAAATTGCATCTTTGCCATATTATCTAAGCTTTAATTTGTCTGCCTTTGGCAAACCTTATATATGCCACAATATTGCGAGGTAATTTGACATAACAAGAAGAGAAATGTGTTCTTTCCGCGGAAGACGCCACTTTCCCAGCAGTGCCTGGCTGCCAAGACCACTAACTAACTGCTGAAACCCGGGAATTTCTCTCATATTTCACATCTTCGTGAAATGTGGCATGCGACATGCCCGAT